TAATAGAATTGTTATTTTTGTTAGTAACATGTGGAGACCTGATGCGCATTAGCGTTAGGGTGTAAGAGTTAAGAATGGAATTCAAGTGCGACTGTTGCTGTTAAATGGCCTCAATGTCGTTTCGAACGTCGAGGTCTCTTTCGATTTTCTTTACGAAAATGAGAACTTTGGACAGGCGAACGGTGGGTACGTGTGCTTTGTGATAACTTCCGGTAAATCATGAAACTGAATACGAAGAATGGAGGAGTTATGTCTGAAAACTAAATGATTATGGCGAGACGGGCGATACCGTCGAGATTACATTATTACAAAAATCCATAGTTTTGAGACCATTATTTTTTCGTCGTGAAATTACATTTGGATCACACTATCATTTTAAACGAGTCTTGGTTGAGAGGAGTTGCAGACTGCAAGCTTTTGGTCACTTTTAATAAAGTTATAGGTACCGGCCCTTAAAAAGCGTGACGATTTCCTTTCTGTCACTTCATAGGAAATTTTTCCGATTGAAAGGACTAAGTCTCCATTCACTCTCACGCAATCTCGGCCAGCCCACAGCATTATGCGACAAAAGCTATAAAAGAGTTAAAGTAGACCAGGTGAGCGTCTTTGTTTACCACTGTTGAGCAGGCCCCAACCAAGAACTATGCGTACCTAATAATACACACTAAATATCATAGAAGAAAAAAGCGCTTTAAAGCCACCTTCAGTATCCCAGATCACCTTTGAGCAAATTTGCACCATCACAATGACCTATGTCTCTTCAAAACAATCCAAATGCTACTTGACAAACAATCGTAAGGCTTGACAAAGATTGGTCTCATACAACTTCCAAAACCTGAATTTTTCTTGAATGGCCTCCATAATTAAAAGCATTTAATACCTAGTTTCGCTCCGGAAATGATCAATTAATGACGTGTGCTGTGGTATCTTAAGAAGTCTACAGTTTCCCATTATTTACGCTGTATCTCGTGAACGCGTTTATCGATCGAACGACGAGAATGACAGCTTCAAGTGGAGGGTTCGATTCTTCACCTTGTTAAAACACAGGCATGGTAAATCGTATGTTATCTTCAGGGCGGCACTTGAAGTTAAAGGCTTCAATCGAAGCTTAGTATAGGAGCCATTTAACAGTCGACCGATTACATACGAACGACAAAAGAGTTCCCGGCAGTATATCGGTGGGTAATCAGCGTAAAAGGTACTTTGTGTTGGTGTTAGTCTGTGAGGTCCTAAAGTCAGTTATATTTACGTTGTCGCTTTTCATAACGCCATACGTGATGACAATCGACATAACAACTGTTTCATACCAGTACACACCTACATATGTTTGAACGTTTGTATTATTGTATGCGTCAGATCTCCCTTAATTAATCGTTACCATTTGTTTTCCACTTTTTCCGCCAGCCGGCTTTTCCTGACTCGCTAAATCGAACTGACTCGGATTCTAAATTTTGACATTCAATCATTCAAATTTAAACAAAATCGTCATCTTAATGTTAACGGTTATAATTCTGTGTCGAAAAGAAACGGAGACCCTGCGTTTTTAAAGCATGCTCATTTATTCTGAGGATGTCTTTGGACGACGATGTAGGTTTTATAGTCAGAGAAACACGTTCAGCCATACCCTCCATGATATGGTAGATAGTTATCTTCCATCGGTCGCGTGATGATCTCGTTTCGAATTATTCTTGAAGTCAATGGTTCTGTTTTGACCCAAGAGTATCCGATGAACTCAAAGACAAATTACTCGCATGCTGGCGGAATGTAATTCGAGAACAGAAATCCTTGCCGCGCAGCAATAGCGTAAATCGCTCATTAAGAACTCGTTATAGACATTTTCATAGGGTGCACCAACAGGAAACTATACCTGTGCCATTTCTTTTTTTTTGGCCGAGAAGTGAGACATTTGCAAGTAGAAAAAAATTACGCGTGTCGACGTATTTCACGCTGCAATCCTCTTGCGCGTAACTCGCGTGTGAATTGTTTAAGGCTGCCCTTGGCAAGCTGAGGTAAAACAGGTAGCGTAAAACCACACGAGAGGATAAAAAAAAAAGACATCTGAAAAGCTCCAGACTTTGAACTAACGAACAATAGGGTCGTTTTCTAACCGCTGAGCTAGCATCAATGAATCAATAGACTGATTCTTTGGGTCCGCTATTCCATAACTGGACAAAAAGCAGAAAGAGATCTGATGGGTCGAAATATTTGGGTTTACAGCAGGAATTCTGAAAATGGATGGTGGGGGTCATTATGCCCTTTTTTTCAATCTAGAAAGAGAAACCACAACAACCACGCAGTGGTGGTTTTTATGCATGATAGAATTTAAAGGAAATATTACATCCCTCATTCCCATGCTGGAAGCTAGTTCCTTCCGTTGACGAAATGCTAATCGATTCGTGAATAATGCCAGAAAAGTCGTTTAAAGAGTGCAGAAACTCTTTAAGGGTGAAAGTTACCCTCCTTACCTGATGGTTAATGAAAGACGATCGAATCGATTGCGAGTTGTTCTATTTCGTTTTTGGAACTCAATGCAGAGCGAGAAACTTACATAGGGATCCATTGAAAAGTAGCAGGTCTGCTTGGTGAGAGGTATTGGGAGCGCTTTTTTGCGTTAATTAAGCATAAGGACAGAATGCTCGGATTGTAGTTGAAGTGGTTTTCTCCGTCTCCCCCTCGAAAACATGCTTGTCGTTGTTACAGTTCCGCCGCCTTTGCTCTCATCGAGCGCCCAAGAAACTTGTTACTACTCAGACTACTTGGGGCGTGAATTCCATCTCCTAGCCCATATTTTGCCTAATTTTAGACCAGTTTCAGTCCCGGTGACCCAAAGTTCATTTGCCTACTGAAGGCGAATCCCGGTTCTCATTTACCCCTTCAGGCCCTTCTTACAGGCTTGTGCAAGAGGCAGTCTACAACTAATGCAATGTTCTGGAGCGCCTTTCTTTCGCATGTTTTGAATAAATTTGACGTGCACATAAATTATGCCATATTTTGTGATTGTTTGGAGGACAATACTTTAGATTGTAGAGCTTTAAATCATAGTTTGTCCTTCAAGTGACTGATTTCGAGTGCATTTACTGAACGGAACTCTCGAAAATTTCCATTTTGTTTAGAATCTTGATCCCAGCGAAACATTTCAAATGTTATGGCAAGAAACGTGATGCATTTCAAATGTTATGGCAAGAAACGTGATGTCTAATCAAGCTTGCTCGTGCCACATAATAGCTAGAATAAATGAATTAACACGAAATGAAAATGAACAATATGAAATCCCTGTTAGTGACGGAATCAAGTAGCCATTGAAAAAAAGCCATTCTACTTGAAGATATTGTGAAGAGGAAAGACAACAGATTTGATAAAATCCGGTGACAGTGATCAAAAACCTCTTCAGTCTTTACTTAAGATACATACCATGTTTTAAAGGTCAAGTCTAAAAGAGCGATAGATTTCTGATCAGAAGGAGAATGAAAGCTTTGAGAGTTCAAAGTTGTAGGAGACGTTTGATCCAAAGTTTCGCGGTAAGAGTTGCTCTCCAGTTTCAGCGATTGAATTAAGCACAGAGAGGATGAAAGTTGAGAAGGAAAGGGAGAGGGGAGGGGCGCTCATACTCTGTTGAGTATGCTTGTTTGACTGGATATTTCTGTTGTATTTTTTTGATGCAGTTTATTCCTACAAAGTAGATGCATACTGAACCGTTAAGACCCTCGCCGTCCACCGTGTCGAGATGGCCACCGCAGAGAAGGCGAAGGAAACGAAAAAGATCCAAACAGGGACTAACAGCACGAGTCAGGTAACTGATCCTTTAGCCTCTAGCACCAGCATCACTACCAGCCGGGATTAACTCCCAACTTCTCATTCCAATATCAATACATAACTAAGCAATCTGGTAATGAGAATAGACAAAAGCGCCAGATGGGTATTGGTGTGATGTAGTACCAAATTCTCAGAACTAGTGTACAAAGGAAGTTATAAGAGTTTTAAGCCACGAATTTGGAATCATATTTTAGGAGTGAGTCGATTAAGTCAATTAACAAACCCAGCCATCCACATCTTCACAACACGTCTCCGGGTTTGGATGAAACATGCGACGAGACTAAAAGATTAGAGTTGCATAACATTATTTACAGTGGAGACCCAAACGACGGAAGTTTGACAACCTCCTCAATAGCGTTTTGTTTGCTTTTAAAACAAGAATTGTTTTATAGTTGAATGTTCATCATTCCACAATAGAGCCCTCTTTCACCAGATCGGGCGTGTTATTGTGTTTTCTCTTGCAAATTGTCACAAGTGTGTTGTTTTTGAGGCGGAGGGAGACAAGCAATACAAAAGAATCGACCTCAAATCAATGTCTTCAGTTACCTTCTACCGTATTAAGTGAATTCTATCTATCGGATATATATCAGATAAGAATCATATTTTGACAATATGACGATTTTCACAGGCGGAGCTAAGATGTTAATATGAGCATAAAACCTAACACTTCTTCAGCAAGCTGAAAAACTGAAAATAAGATCTTTTAAAACTATTTCGTAACTAGCACACAGCGCTTTTCGTCGACAACCCGTTCTTCTTCAACGATCGGTTTAATGGCCTAGTAAACGAAGTGAATAAATATGCAGTGACAATATACTTGATTGGATTCTTCCGAAAATAGAAAAAAAATATATTCAGTCTGCAAAGTTCACCTCAGTTCAGACCACTTCCGGTTGCGTGAACAATCGTGTTTCCGGAACAGAAAGGTTGTGTGGATTTAGTTTCAAAATGAAGGGTTTAGCGCCAGTTGTACTCTTTGTTTGACTACGAGGATGTAATTTCCCTATTTCCTTTCATTAAAATTTCAATCTTTCTCTACGTCTAAAGGGAATTATCTTTTTACAGCAAGTCAGTTCGTTGTTCATTCGAAGTGAAGCCTTTAGTTTCTCTCAAGTAACCGAACTCTTTTATTAATTTTCCGATTAAAACGCTCGGCCAGCGGAATAGTTGTCGGTTTCTCCCGGCAGGCGGTCGGACGTTTCCGTTTGGAATATGGCGGACAATTTGTTATTATGGAACGAAATAACATGAAAGAATTTGGAGCTTGTGGGTAAAATATGTACGTTGGCCGTCACCATGATTACGGCAGATACGAAGATGAATCTTCGGAGGAAGAATGTGAACACTGCTCTAGACAAAACGTTCGTTTACGAAACGAGGACAATTGGTCGGGCACACTGTAAGCGTGAATTTTAGAAATACTTGGTCTTTCAATTGTAAACTATTAGGCCATGTCGTGAGTTTGCTCTCTGTCGTGGCGTTAATTAGAATGTTTTAAAGTATTTAATGACTTTATAACCTGCCTTGCTAGGGTTTCATAATGAATGATGTTTTCACGAGAGAATATCTTTCGATTAGCTATTTCCCGACTCAGTCCAATGTAATGTTTGTTGTCACGATCGCTTCGGAATGGTCACCCACATCTCGGTGTCGATTTCTAATTTTGGTATAATTTGTGCACACACCGTTGATTATTTGTTTCATCATTTAAATACCCATCATTAATATTGTCTGATTCCTAAGTATATCGGACCAAGAGTCCATTTGTTAGTCATAAACTGAAATTGTATGATTTTGCTAAGTGAAGGAATCTGTGTTGTGTTGCACTTTTATGTTTTGCAAAGAAATGAATTGTCAAAAATTTTAAGTGTGCAAACAGAAAGGCGTTAATAACTCTCGATAACGATCTCTTGACTTGTTTCACGGCATCAGCGTGAAATTTATGTAGATTTGGGGTTCACGTAATGGTCGCTGTTGTTCACTTCTGCATCACTTAAGGTCATTCGCATATTTCAGGTACGAAGAACCGCCGTGGGCAAGTCATATTAAAGAGAAAGGTGATGTATTTTACGTTGAGCCGTTCAACGAACCTTCTCCAAACGACATGTTGGACGCACTGGAACGATTGGACGTTTCAGAGAACGATACACAAGGAGATAGAGAGAAAGACAAGGGCAAATCGACGCTTCGGAGTTTAAGTTCTGTGAAGAAAATTATTCCTGGATTGAAGCGAGACAGATTTGACGACAAGAGCCCTAATGAAAAGAACCATAAAAATTCAAATGCTGTAACTCGTGGAACTGTAGATGGTCTTTTAGATGGTAGTAAAGTGGTTGGTAGATTTTTCAAGAGAGAAGTCCATCTCATTGTTTCCCCTCCAAAAAGCCATTCTGGGCTTAAAAATGACCTAGAGACTCTACTTGGAATTATTCCTGGGAGAGATAAATCTGGCAAGATGGCACAAAATGACAGTTACTCAGGATCTAGGCTCTATATCAAAGGGTTTGTTCCTGATGGACCAGCTTTGCGAAGCGGAGATCTTAGAATAGGTATGGTATTGTTTGCAAGTGATGCATGGCAACAGTCATCCAGCACAAGTGTTTGACAATCAAAACCTTGAATGCACTTATGTCTGAAACTACAGTATCCATATATCATTGAGAGTGGCTGAGGGGATCAGTCAGTGAACACTGATACAATGTAATTACACAAGCTCTCTGGCTCAACACTCTTAATTCCCAAACTTGGGCATAACATGTTCTCTTAAAGTAGTATACCCAAATTGTTCAAAGGATAGATGACACTTTTGATAAATAAATCACTAATTTGTGGACATGCTCAGTTAGTTTGTATATCCACACACCCAAGCATCCTGTGTTGCTCTATCCGGCTACCCTCCGAACATATGAATACAAGAGAACAGGTGTACTTAGTTTGTATATCATCTGGAAGTAAGGCTTGATGTCATGATCATCACTGATCAGGGAGAAAACTTTTGCACATAGCATTTGTCCTTTTCATTCCTAGATGTAATCAATTTACAAAATGTTTCATTCATTTGTTTCCAGGAGATGTGCTACTGTCATTAAACAAATTAGATCTTAATTCAAGCAATGTTCACACAATTCTTGCCGCCATTACTGGGCCAATGGAGGTGAGGCATAACATATTTTCCACTTCTACATGGTGTTTCAAATTTTTCAAACCAATTTGATCATTTTTTCTGTTTACTCATAATTCTGTAGCTAATGAGAGACACAGGAAATCAAACTTCAGCTCAGCTTGAAACAGTTTTGCACCAACATAAAAAGTGAACCACAAAACTACCTGGTGTAGCTCTGAATTTTTATGGCAAATGTCTGAGTGTTATCTTTAAATGTGGTTATTATGTTTAAAGAAAAAGGAAAAAAATTCAGATTTGAAGTCATAATTGTGTTGATGTAATACTGTAACAGATAGACTTTATTTTTGCACTTGTCAAAAATATAAAAAATGCAAGTTGGATGTTGTGAAGGAAACAGTGTTTTTTTCAATGATTGTACATATAGAAGAAGGTTTGCACTAATCCAAAGCTCACTTTCAAGGTGTACAATCCACTGTGGTAAAACTCTCCTATACTTAGAACTTTGCTTACAACTTAAGTTTTCAATTAGAGAATTGTTTCACAAATTTTCCCCTTTAGATCACTCTTACCATTCAAAGAGCAATCCAACCAAAGATAGCATCCCCAGTCATTCATCAAAGTACCCCACCAAAGAGTGACAGCCATCTTGTGAAGTTAATCAGTGGAGAGGTACCTCTTGCATCCAAACCAAACCTAAAGAATATCCCTCATGTGGCTTTGTATTTAACCATTACTTCCAGTGAAGATGATGGTGAACCTGATAAGGTAGGTGTATATGTCCTTGTATGATAACATGACTTCCTAGTCTGGATTGGCCGGAAGATAGGAGGAGATAGAGTGGGCAAGAGGCCATAACTTCTATATCATGAGGCAGTATGGTTATTCAACAAGTTATGAGGTTTCCCAAGGCTTATAGTGAGCTTAAGTGCCTGTTTTATACTCATTATTGTACAGAGGTTATATTATTTTAAGCCCAACAGGAGAACACAATGACCTTGCCAGGGCAGTAAAGAAAAGCATTGATCAATTTATCATGGAGTATCCCTCTGTCACTTTTTCACAAGAAGCCTGAAGAAATTGTATCAAGGCCTAAGTTTTCCAGGCTTTTTTTTCCAGGTTACTTCTGAGGATCAAGTGTTAATTAACCAACATCCACAGGTCAAAATATAATGAATTCATTTAAATATGATAAAGTCCCTCACTGCTCACAAAAATGTGGTAATACATGTAATTAAACGTAGATCATAGCACACCATGCACTCTGAGGTGTTTGTGTGATATAGTTAAATATACAATAGCTTTCCTGTTTTCTGATTGGCTTAATTTTTTTCACATGGTATAATGTTGAGAAAAACATGAGAAAGCCCAATATGATGAGTAAACTCGTTGTTCTCACTTGTTTTGCTTGTTTAATAAATATAGGACATACTTTACCAGTATCCTAAGACAGAGGCAGCAACCAAGCTAGTTGGACTAAGGGGAATGTTCTTGACTTTGAGTGATTTAATGTCATCTGTGACATGCAGTACAGCAAACAGGTATGTACATGTAGTACTGGTATAGTATATTGCATCACTTAAATTAATTGATTAAATGATGAATGCTGATTGTTCTGATTATTAAAACATGTTCAAACATAAATTTCAAGTTATATTTGTTGAGCCCCTTACATTTAGCAATTTTGTTTTGTGAAGCATTGTAATAATTATGATCATAGTGATTATTGTGTAAATTTCATTTGCATTATGTTGCATTTAGTATGTGCAAGACTGCTTGTAAATGGTGTAGTTCCACCTGTAGGTAGATGAGGAGTTTGGATACATGTCTACAAAGAAAGAATGAGCGAAAAAATTCCATTTTCAAATGGAGTCATGTTTGGTGTGTTGAAAGGGTTTTTCTGTTGTTGTCTATATCAACATGAATGATAAATTCCAAACTTCATTTCATAAGATTTAATGTAATTCATTCTTGTTGTCTGTTACTTTTAGTTCTACACTGGTGTTGGACAAGAAGCTGATTCATGTTGTGTATTCTAAACTGGACAGAGATGTGTTAGTCATGGCTATGCCAGCAGAAAAGTATGTTTTTAAAGTATTATTAGTTTCTGTAATAATATCCAATTTAAACATATAGACAATTTCAGCACATTTTTTCCAATAAGACCAGGGGGATTTTTGTTAGTTTTCTGTACATCTTTAACCAAGGGCAAAACTAGAGTATTTTCTGTTGTATTCTTTAACCTAATCTCAAGTCTCTCTCTTTTTTGTCAGAATACCTCTTATTCAACTGCAGAAGGTTGTTGCTGATGTTACACAAATACTCTCTCTTACATTTGGATCAATGCAAAGGTATTGTTTAGGATGATTTGTCAGTCTTACTGGTATATTTTTGATTGTTTGGTGGAAACATGTTTTGAGTACATTGTATATGTATATACATTAAAATTTTCTCTCAGAAGAGACTGCAGTAAGCATTAACATACTTTCCATTTTATACAATAACTGAAAACTATTCCTCAAATGTAGTGCTTTTTGTGGCCCAGAATTATACTGAGGGGTGTTCATTTTATTTGTACTTAACATATATATATAGAAACTGATGGGCATTCCAATCTGCTGCTCAAAGATGATCTATTTGCTACATATTGTACAGTAAGATAGCTCTAGTTAAATAATATTGTACAGCTCAAGTTTAGCTGTATATGGTTAAATAAATCAGCATCTTAACCCTTTACACCCTAACATCAGTATGCACATTCTCCATACTGTTCTCTATACATTTCTTAAGGTGCTGACAAAGAGAATTTGTTTAACAGTCAAGAGCTTCTTTAGTTGGTGATCATTTCCTTGACTCTCATGATCTTAAATGAATGATTCAGCAGTATTTTTCTCAGGAGAAACTAGATGCTGGTCACTCTTAGGGTTTAAAGGATTGATACAAAATTGTTGTAATCTATGTCTCACTTGACTGTTCTTTACAGGGCGTTTTGTGACAAATTCAACGAAGTCCGTGCAGATCATCTGTTTTCTCTTCTATTTGACAAAGCCCTTACCAGGCCCCCAGGAGCTAATGAAAAGGATTGTGTAAATCGACTTACAGACCTTTTGCCAGGTGTTCAGTGGCTCAACCTACCCCTGGCCACAGAGGTGAGGAGACTTTTTTTAGCTATAATGTATCATGGTTTATTAAATATTAAGTATTTTTCATTACCAAAAAGCAAGAAAAAAAATGTAAGCTACACTGATAAAAGTAGAATTATGTTCTTCAAGGAAGGACAAAACTTTCCTACCCTGGATCTACTGCTGTTTCTGCAGTACTGGGATACATTCCTGATTTACATTCCATGTTTCAGGCAAACCCAATCCACAGACTATGAACCTTGATTATATTACGCATTTATAAATAAAAGAAATGGTGTATTCCTTGAAGCAAAGACATAGTGTTTTATGGATTTTTCATGCCACACATCATGTGAAAGAGACCAAAAACAATGACAAATGTTATATTTCCTTGAATAAGTGCCCACACTCTAATAAGCACCCTCTCGTGAAAAAAAAGTGCCCACCCCCAAGGCTACAAAGTCAAACAAGCATCCCACAAAGAAGAGTCCTCCCCTCCTCCCTATACTTGGAAAACCTGTTTCTACTGCCACTTTATTTATAACTCCTTTAAGAGCTTCAACTACAGCAAAGTCAGTACAGGTGTCCCCCTTGTTTTAGTGCCCTCCTTTTAGCTGAAATTTTCAGTGCTCTGGCGCTTCTTGAGGAAGTATACTAAGTTGACTTAATATGAATTAGATCTACCTGTAGAAACTTGGCCACCCCCTAGTTAAAAGACTGAGACAACCCAGTCTGACTGGAGTTTTTTTCCCCTTGTTTTAATTCAGTTATTTCCTCACAGGTTCATGTACACTGCTGTCTAAATGACTTAGAGGCTGCAGATTATGGAGAATTTGTAAGTCTTGACCTGATCGTATTATGTGTAGTAAGCAGTATACAAAGATAACACAATAACAATTTCTTTAATTTTCCATGATGAAAAATACAAACGACATGAAGTCTTTGTGAATGCCATATATATAGTTTTTATGACTGCTGCTTTGCAAACAACTTAGATAGTCTTTGTGAATGTCATACTTACAGTTCTTATGACTGCAGCTTTGCACACTACTGCATATATCAGGTTACATTTGGGATTATCACGTTATGATGAGTAACGGTTTGACGTGAAGTTCTCGTGGTTGCTGTTCTTTCTTGTTTTTTGTTTTTTTTGTTTGATTTTTGTTTGTTTATTGTTTTGTTTTCCTTTTTAGGCAGATGAGTTTTTTCAGATTAGAAGATTATATACAATTTTAGGCTCCAGTATATTTTATAAGGTATGGCTTCAGAGAATGTGTTAATAGAACGTCTCTCTATAATGTTAGGGAAGACGTTCATCTTTGGCAAGTCCATTTATACAAACACTGACCGACCATATCTAGTGAAATGTGATGTTATGTTACTTCTAAAGTCACACGCTATTGACATCATGTCATATCACATGGTACACCACATGTCACAGAACATCGTTTAACCTCATGTTATAATGGTACATTTAATGTCGTGTTACATCAAGTCATGTGACATATAATATTGCGTGAAATCGTGTCGTGTTACATGTTACTTTCTCTACACCAATTTAAGGTGTCATGACTTTAATTTCCTGATAAAATGTTCTTTTTTCCTTAGGGATATTTAGTAGCCAATCATTTAAAAAGAGAAGATTTAGAAGATATTGTATTATACTGTAAATATCATTGTTTACTGGCCATGAGTGCAGAACAGAGAGTTGGTCAATTAG